TTAAAAGAGGCTGTTTTTATAATGGAGTGGATTTATTAAAGAAGTTGAATAGAAGCTCATCTTGATATAGTACAGATTATGTTAATTTAAGAGTTTATTTCCAATTGTGATTTTCATCTCTTGGCTTTTTGAAAAGGTTATTTTCTGTAGCCCTATCCTAGGAATAGAAATGGTAGATTTTAACTTGTCGCCATTGTTCATTGTACGAAAAATAAATCTAGAGGTGATTTGTCTACTCAGACTTTTTTAGGGATTGCTACGGAGTTGTGTCTACTTGAAGATACACTTTAAAATGTTGGTCATATTATTTAAAAAGCAGCTCACGTTTAATTATTGAAAGAGATTGCTGTGAATATGTAAACCAAGTTTGTGATTGAACTAAAGCCAAATGGTTAGGAGTATGAAGAAAAGGTATTACAGGGTGGTACAGTTTCCTTTTTAATTTGCAAAACCAGTTAAATGAATTAAACTCTGAGTAGAGGAAGAAACTTACTTAGAGAGCTTACATCTTTCTGCTGACCATGGTGAAGGGCATTCTGAACATTACCACTTAAAACTAACTTTTCTCTTTAAGGGCTCCTGAAATTGTGCAAGCTGACTCCAAGCGCACCCTGACCCCACAGCATAAAGCATGCTGTGATGTCACAGCTACCATAGAACTCCAGGGTAGTGTTGAGCTGGCCCATGTGGGCTCAGGTAAGTCCTGGCTTTTTTTTTAACCATTTGGCATTCTTTTCAAAGTTAGTTACCATTACGATTTTATGTCATAACAGAAAATAAGGCAAAACTTTGAAAACTGTGCCATACATGGGGGAAAAAAATAAGTCTGTTTTCTGAACCTCTATAAGCCAGCTCCATATTCTAACCAACGGAGTTCCATAGTAGCTGTGAAGTCCCCAGGGAGTTGTGACTGGTGGCTTCAGCATGCAGGGGTTGGCAAAAGTAGGGTTGCAGTTGTTGGTATGGAAAATACAATATTAAAAAAATTAATACAGAATAAACTGTTCTGTGTACTCACAACTATAAGCCTACTTTTTTTGCCCACCCTGTATGTTAAATCCTCCTGGTCCAGCTTAGACAACAATATGAGTTGATAAGCTTACGGTTTATAGTATATAATATAGTGTCTATCATTTAGATTCAGGTCTTCGTGTTTTTAACAGTACACTCAAACTTGTCTTTATCTGTAGTTATGCACTGCTGCTTAGTGAGTCGGGAAGGGTTTCATTTGATCACTGTGGAGCGTGCGATGGTTCTGTAGGTTGGTTTTTTGTAACACTCGCCTTCCAGCGCCGTCAGTTGTCCTTCTGTTGGCCTGCATGGCTGGAAGGAGGAGGGGGAGGCGGGCTGTGCACGGCCGTTTGTAAGAGGAGAACGGCGCTTAAGTTACTCCAGTGGTGCCGTGAGACGCAGGGACCTGGAAAGCATGTGGACATCATTGCTTCCTCTCCTGCTAGAACTTTTCTGGTTTTTCCTGGTCTCACATTGACTGAGATTTTACCACTGACATTTATTTACTGATTTTTGCCACCTGCCAACTCTTCAACTTTCCTTTTATTTCCTAATGTTAAAAGTGGTAGAAATGCAATGTTTTATGTCTCCTCAAAGACAATTTTTGTAAGTTGTTTTGCATGTAATCTGATGCTTCCCCTGCCCGCCCCCCCCCCCCCCCCCCCCCAGTGGAAAAGGTATGGTAGCTAAAACTTAAATTATCAAACTGTGGGCCGGATCCTTCTCAGCACCACATATACAGCGAAACCTCTCTGTGAGGACACTGTCTACGCTTTATTATTTTTTTTTTAATAGATTTTATTTATTTATCTTTAGAGGAGAAGGGAAGGAGAGAGGGAGAGAAACATCAATGTGTGGTTGCCTTTCGTGCATCCCCTGCTGGGAACTGGCCTGCAGGGAACTGGTCTGCAACCCAGGCATGTGCCCTGACTGGGAATCAAACCGCAATTGTCTGGTTTGCAGGCCAGCTACACCAGCCAAGGCTCACTGTCTACACTTTAGTCAGCAGCTCTGTTTGAACAAGGTGTAATGATATAAAAATATGGACAGTTTAGCTGGCTGGTGTGGCTCAGTGGATTGAGCACCAGCCTTTAAAACAAAGGGTTCCTGGTTCAATTCCCAGTCAGGGCATGTACCTGAGTTTTGGACCAGGTCCCCAGGAGGGGGTGCTGGAGAGGCAACCACACATACAAGGATGTTTCTCTCCCTCCCTCCCTTACCCTCTTAATAAAAATAAATAAATAAAAATCTTAAAATATTTTTTTCTAAAGTAATACTTCCATGACAGTTCAGTATTACTTTCATGACATTTTATTTGTGATAATTCTACTCATCTTTGTAGCTGAAAACTGACCGTAACTGACTATAAGCAGTTAATTTTGGTTAATTAAAAGAATGGAATTATAGATATTCCCCAAGTATTAGATAAGAAAGTGCTTTTCTTTTTAATATTACTTTGTGCCTATACTTAAATTTGTGTTTTTCACGTTCTGGGAAGTTTGGGGAATTTCATGCTGTGACTAATTGTATAGTATATGCAGTTGTATTTTGTGTGTGTGTGTATGTACACTATATATACAGTGTAAATGCTGTCTGCATAGTAGAAATGCTGCACACAGTACAAATACTGTATGTGCACATATGTAGTACTTGTACTTTGCGTTGAAACTAGAGACTGTGAAACAGGTGCGGCGACACTGCACACACCTAGGAAGAGAGCTCTGACTGGAACAACGCGAGCCACGGCCGTCTTCCTGGGGAGCACTGCGGGTGCAGAGGGCGCTGGAGCGGGGCGCACTCAGTTCTAAAGCACATGCACGAGTTCACTGAAAGAATTGTTTTAGAGAGCAGGGAAGGGAGGGAGGAAGAAAGGCAGAGAAACATTGATGTGAGAGAGAAGCATTGATTGGTTGCCTTGCCTGTGTGCCCCAGTTGGGGACCACACTCTCAACCAAGGCCTGTGCCCTGACTAGGAATCGAACCTGCGATCTTTTGCTTTGCAGGACAATGCCCAATCCCCTTGGCTAGAGTTTTGTTTTTCTTAAAAAAAAAAAAACCACAAAAATTATTGTATTTATTTACTTTTTGGAGGGAGGGGAGAAAGAGAAAAAGACGAACATCCATGTTGGAGAGGTAGACACAGTGTGGGATAGATACATGGATCGGTTGCCTCTCACATGTCCCCAGGCAGGGACCTGGCCCACAATCCAGGTACGTGTCCTGACTGGGCATCGAACCAGTGACCTTTTGGTTCACAGACAGGGACCCAGTCCACTGAACCACACCAGCCAGGGCTAAAGTTCTTTTTACTTGACTCCTTAACCATAGATTTTTTTTTTTTATGTCAAGTAGTACTTTCCGTGTCTATTCTTAAGGCTTACCCTTTGGAGAAGATTCATCACCCGTCTCACACCACCCAGATTACAGTTCAGCCCCAGTGACTACTGCAGGACACTGCCTCGTAGGGCTGTGCCGATGCCCTTTCTGTATGGAGATGGAGGTCCCCACCGTCCTTAGGTGTTTCTGTCGAGGAATTTATTAATCTGCTCTGCTGTGAACGTAAAGACGCCCGGAAGGAGGTGTTCTCATCATGCATTCTGAACCTGCAAAACGGATTGGCTGGGACAGAATCCAGATTTCCAGAAAGAATTTCTGACCCGGAGGTTGAAAATGCTGGCCTTTTATCTTTCACAAATGTGATGAAAAGGGGCTATTTCAATTTTAAGAGTCATGTTTTTAACTGTCTTTGTGTTTCTCGTATTGTTGCTCTGCATGATTCAGTGATGTGGGAGTTGAATGATCATTTTAAAGCTATTTTTAAAAACTGGGGGAAATTGTTGCGTTGTACCAATTTCATACTGCAGGGAATAGCTAGACCTTAGTTATCTAATTCCTAATTCAAGATAGTGATTAAACATACTTAAAAAATACACTGAGAATTATTTTTAATTACTGTTAGTATTTTAGCTAGCAAATTTTTCTTCTGTAACTTAGGAAACACTTAAACTTATTTGGTTGGTCCTATAGTCTTGGTGTTTTGCTTTCGATCACTATTTGTGGTGCAGTTGAAGCTCACCAACACCTTCATTTGGGGGGCAAGGCTGTTTGTTTGTTGTCTATAGGTGTATTCTACTGTTTAGAAAGTAGAATTGCTATCTTGACCTAACAGTGATTTGTGCTGAGATTAATAACATCGTCCAGTAGGAGTGGAAAGTCACTTACGGACTTGGAAAAAGTGGTATTTGTTTTGTCTCTTCAACCCCAGCTGTTTTGTAGTACTTTGTTTTAGCACCTTTTTATTCAGAATCATCTGGTTCAGGTTTTCCTATATTAATACTTTTTAACGGGTATAAAAAAGACTTGTCTGGTGGGGAGCACTGGGGGGGGTGGACTGAGATGGGACTAAAAGACAGAAAACTGTACTTGAACAACGATTAAATAAAAGACTTTTCTGTGAGAGATTCATTTTGCTAACTTTCACTTAACATTGAACATGGCTTTGATTTCCTTTAAATTGTTTCAAAGCTACCGCAGTGTGGAAGGCTCCGCTTTTGTTTTGATTAGGCTTTAAGAATGCAGCGCTCAGGGCGGAAGTAGTGCCCAGTGCCGGGGCAGCCCGCCTCTGTCTCCTTGGTTTCCGCAGAGTCAGGACCAGAACAGGAGTTTAGTGTCTTCTGTGAAGTCTAGTTTCTCATACTCAACTGCCTGTCTCTGAGCTAATTACTATTCTAATAGTGCCCTGACCCCTCGAGAGCCCGGCACCCAGTTGAGGCGCAGGTAAGTGCCTGTGCCTAACCAGGCAGGTTCGTTCTGCAAAGAAACCCAGGGAGGATGCACCGGTTCTACTTACGTTCTTTAGGACAGTCGACTGATGGTGCCCCAGGGTCCAGGAAGCACAGAGGAACATTTAGAGTTCAGAGTGAATGCTACAGGTTTGTGCTTTCTGAAGGAAAACAGAATTAACCTCTCTGTCTTGATGCTTGTTTCAGGGGTCGTGGAAGGTGATTTAGCTGCTATAGAAGCATACAAGTCGTCAGGAGGGGACATTGCCCGTCAGCTCACCGCAGATGAAGTGCGCTTGCTGAACCGCCCTTCGGCTTTTGATGTGGGTTACACGCTGGTGCACCTGGCCATCCGCTTCCAGAGGCAGGACATGCTAGCGATACTGCTCACGGAGGTGAGTGTGGCTTTTCCCTTTACGTTCTTTTACTTGACGGAAATGTGTTCCTTTGTTTTTATTTTCGATGTTACAGTGTTTCTCCAAACAGTTCTTAAATGTTTCATTCTTTCCTCCCGTTGAAAAAATTATGTTAAACTTAAGAGACTTAAACAGTGTATAATTTTTAAGGGTATATGCTCTTAAAGTCAGACATTTTGCTACAGTGTATCTGTTATTCATTCATTCCACTAACAAACATTCATTGAGTGCCCACTGTGTGCTAGGCATGGTCCTAAAAAGGGAAGGGATTGTGAAGACATCGGCTCCTCCTTCAGTGATTGCCAGAGAAGTAGAGGGATAAGCAGGTGACTGTGCACCGCGTGTGCTGTCCTAGGTGCAAGGGCCAGGTGCTGGGGCGGTACTGGAGAACGTGTTTTCAGATACCTTACCTTCTTACCTGGAACAGGTAGGTTAACAGTCTGAAGGAGGAGTAGTGATCAATCCCATACAGTGGGTGGAGGGGGGGGAGTTAAGGAAGCCATTTACTCAGAGTTGAGGATAGTGGTGTTTATGGTGAATTCAGGAACTTGCAGACAGCTCAGCATGGCTGTGATGGCGATTGAGAACTGAGCGGGGAAGCGGGAGAGAGAAGCAGGGGACAGGTGTAGGGATCTGCTGGGCCTAGGGTGTAGGGTATTCAGAGGGCCGTAAAAAGGCTTTAATGAGTGTCTGGCAGAGGAACAGGGAAGTGACTAGGTGAGACCACTTTGGGCTGCTGTGGGTCAGAGAGGAGCAGGCTGGTTAGGAGAGCTGGTGTGGTGAGGTTGGCCAGGACCCTGGCTGGGCAGGGGCACAGGAGAGAAGCAGGCCGTTGGGGAGCAGTTGCTTGCGTCCCATAGTCAGGCTTGGTGGGTCGAGTGGATGGCAGGTAATAAGGTAGGGATCGAAATTCATTCTGAGGGTTCTGGTTTAGATAACTAGGTAGATGTTAAAAATGATAGAGGTTGCAAAGGAATTATTCAGGATGCAGCTAAAATACCCAGGTGATTAAAAAACTAGCAGTGGGGTGAAACTGCAGTCAGCTCAGCTGTGGGTCTAGATGTCAGTACACGTCTGCGTGTGCCTGCGCACCCGCATTTACTTGAATGCGGGTATCTGGGAGGCACTGCACACAGAGCAGTTCAGGGGGTCCGGGAATCGGAAGGTGGGGTGCAAGCACGACCGAGAGGGCTGGTCACTGTGCTCCGTTTGGAGAGGTTCCGGGGAAGCCAGGACACCTGAGAGACTCCGAGGAAGGGGGGTCTGGGAGACAGCCAAGCCTGAGGGCGGAGGACTCTGCCGGAGAGGCGGCCACGTCAGAGGGGCCCGGCTTGAGTTCCGGGTCGGGCGGAGCAGCGGTGGGCAGCGTCCGTGGTGTCTGAGGCCTGGCTGAGAGCAGGGGAACATCAGATTTCGGGGGTGTGTGTCTAGGGCAGGGTTTCAGGGACCCTGTTGTTGGTAGTGTGGTGGAACCTGTGGACTCCTTTCAAAATATTTTAAAATGAATACAATAAAAATAAATAGGGTTGCAAAGGAAGTCAGTTACAGTGGATGTTTGAACACAGCGGGGGTAGGACACTACCCCACGGGGCAGTGCATTTGAAAATCCCAGTATGACTTCAACACCTCTAAGACTTAACTGCTTACTGGTAACGCAACAGTCAATTAGCACGTTTTGTGTGTAATGTGTAGTATATCGTGTATTTTTATAAAGTAAGCTGGAGGAAACAAGATGGTATTAAGAAAATCATAAAGAAAAGAAAATGAATGCATTTACAGTGCTTATTGAAGAGAACCTGCCCTGGCAGGTATGGCTCCGTGGATTGAGCATGGGCCTGTGAACCAGGGGGTCCTGGTTTGATTCCCAGTCTAGGGGACATGCTCCGGTGGTGGGCTACGTCCTCAGTGGGGGGCGGCACACAAGAGGCAACCACACACTGGTTTCTCTCCCTTTCTCGCTCCTTTTCTTGTTCTCTAAAAACAAATAAAAAATCTTTAACAAAAGACACCTGTGTAGATGCGGACCCGTGGTGTTCAGAGGTCAGCGACACATTGAAACACACGGGGTCTGGCAGAAGGAGTGCCACCGAGAGGCTGGTTGCACACGCAAGTGTCTCGCACCAGATGGACAGCAGTTTGACATTTCCCCAGAAATGTCCGGTGGTGGGCTTGAGTGTGATATTGTTATGTTACAGAATAGCATGCTTACGATTTTGTAATAAAAGATTTGGTATAGATCAACAGCCTATAAAAGGGGGGCGTTATTTGTGCTGGACCCCATACTTGCCAAAACTTAAATTGTGATATATAAGAATATGAAATATAGGCAAGAGGTTAGTAAAAATGGAGGATTTAGATTTAATTAAAATTGCTGCTCAAGTTCACAGCTCCTTCTCAATTTCATGGGCCCTTAATTAAGAACTGCTGGCCTAAGAGGTGGTCGTTGAAAGTCATGAGGTTGAAAAGGCCAGAAGATGAGAGGCGGGTCCAGGCCACGTCCTGCCCGGGGAGGGCGGTGGAAGGAGGACGACCCGGAGGCCAGTCACCAGCTCAGAGGTTTCTCGGGGAGTGTTCGCAGTATCTGGGTTTCAGTCCAAGTCATTTTGGAAAAATTTTGCCAGGTTTTTGGAAAGGGGCTGAGGGTTAGCAGATTGGAATAGCTCATTTTAAATTTACTTTTGGGACCCATTTGAACACTGGTGTGGAACAGGCAATTATATTGTGAAAATACAGAATATTTGGTTTTCTTTCATCTGAGTGTCTTAAAGATTGGGTTCATAGACTTGAGGTGTAGTGAGAATCTCGTTCTGACTGGTATCCTGACCAGTAAGGTTCAGCAGAACTGGGTTTTCATGTAGGAGTTTCAGAAAGGTCTGTCTGATTATTGTGTTGGGTGTGCAGGGTGTTTTACTGTTTAATTAACAGCAGTTACAGTGAAGCTCCATGTCTATTACGTAGGTGACATTATCTGTAAAACTTACTCTTTGAGCAGCTCATTGGAAGATCTCCTCCAAAAGCACACTTGTGACTGCAAGCCGCCCTCCCGGAGGGCCGTTCCAGCAGGGGCTGCAGTCTGGAGTGGCGGCAAAGGGCAGCTCTGTCTGGCCCACGCAGGGTTCGCACCGGGCTCACTTCCTTTGATTTGGGAATTCTCTGTACACAGGTGCCTTGAGTTCAACAGAAGGAATACAACTTAAATGTAGTATCTTTACACATTTGTTGCTGCTCATCATTTAGGAAGGAGAGGAGAATTCTAGCCGTCTCAGTGCCTGGAGGTTCTTCCTGGGAGTCACTGCCAGTGCTCAGACTTCACTCGTCAGGGCCAGGCTCCCAGGGTTGGCGTCTGTCTGTGCCGTCTGTCTGCGCTGGGGCAGGCCGGATGCTGCTGCAGGAGGGTGTGAGGTCAGCAGGAACCGACCCTTTAGAAATGCCACGTTTCTTTGTTCAAGGTTAGGGTGGTACTTGAAATATTCTTAACAAAGCAGGGGCATAGTGTTTTGGGGGTGTCTTTGCCCCCCCCCCCCAAGCTGGAATTCCCTGCTTTTTAAGAATTTTTTTTCTTGGGGGTAGAGGGCAAGATGATTTAGGTTGTTTACTGGTCTCCCTCTCCCTCCCGTGGGGAGCCTTTGGGAGCAGCGCCATTTTACGGCTCGCCATTTTATTCTCACGTGCTCGATGGGAATAAATTCTTAAGTAGAATCACTGAGTCAGGGTAAACCGGCTTTTCCTGAAATGTCGTACTGATGTATTTGTCCACTGGTAAGGAAATAATAACCCAACACCCAATATATTGTAGAAGTCACCACCTTGAGTTACTGGGAAATGTTGGTAATTCCCTTTAAATATTATTGTGTTCTGCTTCTGTTGATAAGTGAGATGCAAAGGGCCTTTTCTTTTGTGTTGAAGGTGTCTCAGCAAGCAGCAAAGTGCATCCCAGCAATGGTGTGTCCGGAACTGACGGAGCAGATCCGACGAGAGATAGCTGCCTCTCTCCATCAGAGAAAGGGGGACTTTGCCTGCTATTTCCTAACTGACCTTGTAACATTTACATTGCCAGCAGGTAACTTCCCAACTTCAGTGTGAGAAGAAATTTTTGCTTAGTACAGTTATTTTTTGTGTCTAGTGAAAATATTTCAGGTGGAAAGCAGATAACTCAGGTGTTATATGTGCATCTTAAATCACTTGGCTATTCTATTTATAGTGGAAGTGACCAGTACACGAGCCATTATTCTTGGTGGGCTTGGGAGGGAGATGGCCGCTGGCAATCGACTTCTTTGTGGGCCTCGGATACTAAAAAAAATCAGCTTAAACCATTTCTCTTCCCTTTGGCTTTATTTTAAACTATTCTTAGTCTACTTTTCTTTTCATGCTTATTTTGAAATTAGAAAGCTATTGCTTATCTGGCATATGGAGTCAGTATTAGAATGTAGGCTTTTGATGAGTAAAATCAAGTTGTTTGAGTCAAAGATACTGGCATTCTTTTGAAAGTATCATTACTCATTGAAAGTACTCATTACATTGATTTCTACTATATTTATGAGACAACTTTTCATTTTTCTACCCATTGGTAATTGGGAAATGTCTTAGTTGGTTTTTATTACTTGGCTTTGAATAAATGCACCAAACTCCAAAGTTTGTAAAGTAAATCTTCCATCTTGGTTCTGAGTGTTTTGAGCTTTTGTGTTCAGACACGAACAGGAGCTCTCGCAGATGGTAAGAGGTGGTACCTAAGCCTTTGAAAATCGGAGTGATTTCATTTGAAATCCGTTCTCTGTATACAGGACAGGGGTGGGCAAAAGCAGGTTTCCAGTTGTGAGTGTGAGGAATATTTTTTTCTTGTATTTCCTAGTTATTATGTTATTTAGTTGTATTATTTGTTGTCTTATTTTATATCCTTATGATTTGTCCTTTAGGTAATCATGGCTGGTAATTTTAAATTCAAATTCAGCAACCATCTTATTTTTTCCTTTTTTAAAAATATATTTTATTGATTACACTATTATAGTTGTCCCATTTTTTTCTCCCCTTTATTCCCCTCTGCCCTGCACCCTTCTCCCACCAGCATTCCCCCTCCTTAGTTCATATCCATGGGTTGTACATAAAAGTTCTTTGGCTTCCCCATTTCCTATACTATTCTTAACCTCTCCCTGTCTATTTTCTACCTGTGATTTATGCTTCTCATTCCCAGCGCCTTCCCTCCCACCCCCGCTGATAACCCTCCATGTGATCTCCATTTCTGTGATTCTGTTCCCATTCTAGTTGTTTGCTTAGTTTGTTTTCATTTTTGTTTTTGAAGTTCAGTTGTTGATAGCAGTTGAGTTTGTTGTCATTTTACTGTTCATATTTTTATCATCTTTTTCTTAGAAAAGTCCCTTTAACATTTTGTATAATAAGGGCTTAGTGATGGTGAAGTCCTTTAATTGGACCTTATCTGGGAAGCACTTCATCTGCCCTTTTATTCTAAAGAATGGCTTTGTGGATAGAGTAATCTTGGGTGTAGGTTCCTGCCTTTCATGACCTTTTTTCTAGCTCCTTCTTGCCTGCAAGGTTTCTTTTGAGAAATCAGCTGATAGTCTAATGGAAACTCCTTTGTAGATAACTGTCTTCTTTTTTTCTAACTGCTTTTAAGGTTCTGTCCTTTTCTTTCATCTTGGGTAATGTAATTATGATGTACTTTGGTATGTGCTTCCTTGGGTCCAGCTTCTTTGGGGCTCTCTGACTTTCCTGGATTTCCTGGAAGTCTGTTTCCTTTGCCAGACTGGGGAAGTTCTCCTTTATTATTTGTTCAAATAAGTTTTCCACTTGTTGCTCTCCCTCTTCCCCTTCTGGTACCCCTGTAATTCGGATGTTGGAACGTTTGAAGTTGTCCTGGAGGTTTTGTTTCTCCATTCTGTTCTGGTCAGATGTTTATCATCGCTGCTCATTTAACCTACTTTTGCCCATCCTTGTATTTAAGTTTTACCCTAAATGATGATTAGATTTTTATTTTACCTTGAAAATAGCTTACAATATTAAAAACAAAACAAAACAAAAAAACCCACGTTTTAAAGGATAATGGCTTTTACCCAGATAGTAAACTGAGTAAAGTAGAGAGAATTTGAGGAAGAGGACAGAAACCTGTGTGCCACAATTAGTGGCTTATTAACTCTTACTGGGTTTTAAAGTCTGAAGTAACAGGATTAACCAGAGGCTGACAGTGTGGGAAGAGAGCAGATGAAAATCTGCATGTGTTGATTATTGTTTTAACCTGAATGTTAGGTAACCTTGTTTTTTTGTCCTTTTAGTTCATCTTTACTGAAGTGTAATTGACATAAAATTGTCAGCAATTTAAAATGTACATCATGGCAATTTGATGTCAGGCATGAGATCTCTTAAGACTCTTTTTTTGTAGATATTGAAGACTTGCCTCCCACAGTCCAGGAAAAATTATTTGATGAGGTGCTTGACAGAGATGTTCAGAAAGGTAGGTGTGGATTAATGAGTAGACTTTACCTTTCATTAATTTCAGTAAACTTCTTGCTTTGTTTTGTAGCAGTTCAGTTTGGTTTGGAGTAGTTTGGTGTACGGTCAACTTGTTTTATTTTTACTTGCAATTACAAATATAAAGTCCTCAAGGACAATGTATGGCGCTGCTAAAAATGATCATTATGTTACTTGTATTTTAATAAACCTGGGGGAGAATGGACATTCACAGCTCTTAACTGATGATACAGTGAGCAAATAAAGGTATAAAGTTTTTAAACTGGTTTTCCACTCCTATTCTAGAATGAGAATACTTCCATATTAAATATTTTTTAGAAAATAAATTGTAAAGAGTTTAAAAGTTGAATAAGTTTATTCTAGAGCCACAAGATGTTTCAGCTATTCAAAAGGTTTATATTTCAATTGGTAAATATATTTAGGTGTTTATTAGTAAATTACACAGAAACCTATTAACATCTGGAGAATAGGTTCTTCTCTCCACCGAATTGTTTTAATTGCATAGGTGTGAAAATGAACATGCTATTTAAATCCTCATGTAGAGTTAGAAGAAGAATCTCCCATTATAAACTGGTCCTTGGAGTTGGCGACACGCTTGGACAGTCGGCTCTATGCACTTTGGAACCGGACTGCCGGGGACTGCTTACTTGACTCGGTGCTGCAAGCTACCTGGGGCATTTACGACAAGGACTCGGTGCTTCGGAAAGCCCTGCACGACAGCCTGCACGACTGTTCGCACTGGTGAGCCGGCCCTGCCCACTGGAGTCCAGGGTGCAGTCCGTTCCCAGTGGCAGTGGGACACTTGCCATCGTCCCACTTCCTGTGGGAGCTAGGGGGGGAACGCTTTGCTTTTGGACCCTGAGACCATCTCAGTGGTTTTGACACCTTTCTGCTGAGCTTGGTGTTGGACCGTTTTGCTGAGTGAAGGCAGCGGTCCCGAGAAGAGGGTGAGAGTGTGGAAAGAGGACAGACGAAAATTTGCATGTAATTAATTGTTATTGTCTTAACTTGAATATCAGCCTTTTTTCTTTCATCTTTATTCAGGTAATAATTATTTAAAGTAGAAACATTTAAGTATAAGTACTAGTCCGAAACATTAATAAGGTCTTTAAACATTATATCAAGTCTTTTTGTGGTTTATTCTAAGTATCAGCTCTGAATAGGACATGGAGTTGGGTAAATGGAGGAGTCCTTTTTTTTTTTTTTTAATCCTCACCTGAGAACATGCTTATTGATTTTTTTTTGTTGTTTTTTAAGAGAGGGAGGGAAAGATCGATTGCGTCCTACATGCGCCCTGACTGGGGACCGAACTCACAGCCCCGTATGTGCCCTGGAGTGGGAGTCAGATCCGCAGCCTTTTGGTTCACAGGACTGTGCTCCAAACAACAGAGTCACACGGACCAGGGCTTTGCTCATGTTTTACAGCATTCCGATTTCATTTTTGTTCAACTCTCAGAGATTATTTGACATGATCCTGCAAGTTCTTTCTCTCCCTGAGGCACAGGTGATTTTAAGCCCACATTTTTTAATTTCATCATCTGGCACCTAATCAAATATATAGCTGATCCTGAAGTACAGATTCACCTGTGGAAGGATTAGTCACTGCAAATGGTGCTTGTTTGTGAATCGGGAGTTTGGGTTTACATTTATTTGACCTAGGCTGTTTTCTTGGTTTTGCCTATAACTGTCATTTCATTACATTGTAAGTGAGAACATTGAGGCTTGAAGAGGCTCCATGAAACTGCCCATTGTTGAAGTCAGTACATGTTTTTCAGTGACTTCTGCCATTCACTGTTTTTCCTACGGGAACATCAAAACGTGCTTTTCCCTCTGACACCTAGTTGTGCGCTTCCGCAGCGCTGATAGCAGCTGCCCCCCAGGTCGAGGTGCCCTGCTCTCTGTGCCCTTGAACACCACTGCTTGTAGGCTCTGGTCAGCGTGTAGGGACCGCACGAAGCCATTAGACCACGCACTGCACGAGTTTGTTGTCCTTCCTTGTGGAAGTTTTAGTGCCGACAGTAGCCTGACAAGTAGTGAGTATAAGTAGGTAGTGAGTGAAAGTACTCCCTGGAATTTAAAAATAAGAGCAGTATATTACTTTCTCGAGAGCTAAATTATAGATCAAAGCATGCAGTATAGTAAAAATTTGTGGACACCTGAACACACAAAAAAATAGCTCCCTGTTTGGCAAGCCTCAATGGGAACCCTACTGGATGCATAACATAGTTAAAAAAAACAAGTGTACCGTTCAGGACCAATGGTTTTTGTTTTACCTTCACTTATTTCTTTGCTGCTCTTTTATGTAGATCAGAGTTTCTGACGCGTGTGTGTACACACACACACACACACACACACACACATTATCTCTAAAGAACTTCACATTTCTTTTGAGGCAGGTCTCTGGCAGCATACTCTCTCACTTTTCGTTTGAGAGACTCTTTGGTTTTTCCTTCACTTTTGAAAATTACTTTCACAGGGTGTGGAATTCTAGGTTGGTGTTTTTTCTTCCGAACTTTGAACCCACTTCATTCCGCCTCCCCGGCTGGCCTGGTTTCTGTGGGGCACGGGAAGGCCCCCCAGATCGGCCAGTGCGGGGAGGGAGCTCTGGTTGGGCGTTGTGCAGGTCGCGTTGGGGACGCTGCCCGGGAAGGGGTCTGTGGGGGACTTTGTCTTCATCTTTGATCTCCTGTGGTTTGGATGTAATATGTCTGCATGTAGTTTTTCTGATATTTTTTCCTCCTTGGTGTTTTTTTTTAGCTTCTTGGGTCTGTGGTATGTTCTGACATTAATTTGGGGAAATTCCCAGTCATTAATACCTCAAATAATTTCTTCTGTTACTTTTTTTTCCTTCTGTTATTTCCATCGTGTTACATGTTACACTTTCTGTGGTTGTCCCTCAGTTCTTTGAAATTCCCTGTTCTCTTTTCCATCTGTGTTCTCTCTGTTTCCAGCGTCGGAAGTTCCTGTCGTCCCGTCCTCGCGCAGGGCGTTCAGTCCACCGCGGAGTGGCGGGGGCTCGCCCGGCTCTGCCCCGGCCTCTCTGACCTCCGCGTGTCCTTGGGTTCTGTGCAGGGTCCCCATCGCTGCCCGTGCACACTGCGTGCTGTGGGCATTCCCCGGGATGGCCCGGGGCACGTTAACCGTCGTTTTAAATTTAAAAAATAAAATTGTAAAGCATTGCTGCTGTGTTTTTATCTAAGAATGTCACAGTTTTAGCTTTTACATTTATGGTCTGTGATCCGTTTTGAGCTGATTTTTATTTAAGGTGTGAGGTAATCGAGATCAGTTTTGCGCGTCGTCGGTACCGGTCTCAGTACCATTTAGTGAAAAGACGCTTGTTTTTCCCATTCATTTGCCCTGGCGCTTGTGTTGAAAGTTATTTGACCATAAAAATAAAGGTTTGATTCTGGCCTTTTTTTTTTTCTGTTGATCTGTATGTCTGTTTTTAGGCAACATTAGACTGTCTTGATGATTTGTAGCTTCGTGGTAAGTTTAAAGATCAGGATATAAGTCTTTCAGCTTCGTACTTTGTTTTTCAAGATTCGTTTTGCTATTGTGAATCCTTTGGATTTCCATAAAAATTTTGGGATTCATACTCATTTCTGCAGGAAAGTCCTCCGGGATTTCAGTAGTGACTGCATTAACCCTGAACCGTTTGGAGAGTGTTATCAGGTTGATGGCATTGAGTCTTATATCCATGAACATGGAATTGACTTTTGAATGTTAAACCACTTCGTCACCTGCTCCTGGATTTGGTTTGGTTTTCTGTTCTTAAGGAGCCAGGAAGTCGCAGAGTTTAGGTCTGTGTGTGGCGGGCACAATTATTTTAATATGCTTATTTTCAAAGTACGTCTTTTTTCAACTTCCTTTTTCTGCAGTCTTCTTTGAGGAGTTTCGAGTGTGCCATCGTTGAATTTCTGGCAGACTCGGCGACCTCATTTATAAAATGAGTCTAGGCCCTAACCAAGGAACTTGAATAGTGCACACCTTTCAGTTCGTGACACTTTCTGTGTCGTGCGGTACTTCTGTACTTGTTGTGGCTTGGTTGGTTGGAGTGTCACCTCATAGGCTGGAAGGATTATGGGCTCGACCCCCGGTCGGGGTGTATGTGAACAGGCCACCGATGGCTGGCTGTCTGTCTGTCTGTCTGTCTGTCTCTCTCTCTCTCTCTGGACCCCCTTGCTCCCCAGCAGTGAAAAAATGGGTGAGGATAAAAATCAATGTATTTTGTCATTGGTGCGTTCCAGCATACTTTTGTGTTTCTTAGGTATTTTAAAACAACACTACATTTTATTTTTAAAATATAGAGTCCTGGTTAAAAAAGTGTTGATTACCTGGAATAGAAAACTATTCAGTATTTTTCTGGTCAGCCAAGAGTTGACCTGATGTGGGTTCCTCTCCACGGAGCCCTCCACGGACTCACCACGAAGACACTCGAGGCTTAGACACTCGAAGCGCTCCCACGCTCCGCTCTCCTCGTCCTGGGGCTTCTCGGTGGTGGGAGTAGGTTTTTTTTCTGTCTTTCCCTTTTTTTTTTTAGCACAAGTTCAAATACATAAAAGTACTGGGGTTTTTAATTTTTTATAAGAGGGCAAAATGTGGTATTACAGGTTAAATGACTGTTTTTACGCAGAGGTCTTGGCTGGATTGTTTTGTAAGACAGCGAATCACAAATTTGAGCATAATTATATCTGGTTTTGCTGAATTCTCTGCATACCACGTGTCAGTGGGGTAGCCAGCATCTCAGGTGGTCTTGAGTGGGTTATTTTTTTTTTTGAATTTGCAAACTAAGAGTAGACCATTGAAATGAACTGTTCTCATCACTAGTGTTTGAAGTTTTGATGAAAATTTGGTGGGCAGTGCGCCAAATTAAGTCTGAGGATGTAAAGATGGCTGTTAGCAGAGTGGAAGCATTTTGAATTTGAAAACTATATTGCAAGCCAGGTGAAAATAATAAAATTGTTAATCTTTGAAAGTGAATTGCTTAAAGCCTCCATTAAATGAATGATTGGAACATTAAGTGTTTACAGCTGTATTTTTTTACTGTCTTGTTTTCTTAGGTTTTACACACGTTGGAAAGATTGGGAATCATGGTATTCTCAGAGCTTTGGTTTACACTTTTCCTTGAGGGAAGAACAGTGGCAAGAAGACTGGGCGTTTATACTCTCTCTTGCCAGTCAGGTGAGAACGCTTCAAGGCGTGCCTCCTCCTCATTAACGTAAGCCCGTGGCCTGAGTCCCTGGGGTTGCCGGGGGAAGCCCTCTGGGTCCCGGTCGCTGCTGCCATTTGTTAAGTTAACTTTGTGACCTCACTACGGGGCAGGCGGAGCAGCATGCTTCTCACTGAGCAGTAAAAGTGCCCAGTGGCAGCCATACCTCCGAAGCACCGTGCAGACAGCTCTCCGAGCTGGGAGGCATCACTCGGGCCGGCCCTGCTGTCTGGGTCTCGTTCCCGAGACCGGTACTTAACCGGATCGGAGGTGCTGCACGCGGACTGCAGGTGTTAGTTCGATTCACCTTGGACATTCGAGGAATCGTACACTTCTACAGCTTGACAGTGTTACTGTGTCTTTAAATGCACGGAAACAGTGTGCCCAAGGAGGGTTGCGTTGTGTTGTACAGGCTTCCCCGTGTGCAGTAACATTTTCAAGAGAAACTACTGTCTTTCCTTTTGTTTTATGCAGCCTGGAGCGAGTTTGGAACAGACACACATTTTTGTACTTGCACACATCCTTAGACGGCCGATTATAGTTTATGGAGTGAAGTATTATAAAAGTTTCCGGGGAGAAACTTTAGGATATACTCGGTTTCAAGGTAAGCATTTATCAAGAGTATATTTGAAGTCTTTTTTAAATTAATTATAATGCAGTTTGCAGTCATGTCCTGAAAGTCTGATTGTGATTTTCTTCCCTCTTTCCAGGTGTTTACTTGCCTTTGTTGTGGGAACAGAGTTTTTGTTGGAAAAGTCCGATTGCTCTGGGTTATACGAGAGGCCACTTCTCTGCTTTGGTTGCCATGGAAAACGATGGCTATGGCAACCGAGGTGCTGGTGCTAACCTGAACACCGACGACGACGTCACCGTCACTTTTCTGCCTCTGGTCGACAGCGAACGGAAGCTCCTCCACGTGCACTTTCTCTCCGCCCAGGAGGTGAGACGCGCGTCTTCCCTGAGCTGCTGGAGGGGGCAACGCTGCACCGGGCCCAGTGCGGGGCGCACATCGAGTTTTGCGGTGTGGTGGCAGGAGTGTCACTCTCTGAAGCCTGGTCAGGGCACAGGGCAGGGTGTGCTGTGTGGGGACACAGCGGTGAGGCGCGGACAAAGGTCCGTCCCCTGGGGAGGGTGAGGAGTGCTGGGAAGAGAGAGCACACAGCAAGGTGAGGGCCAGGGGTGGTGAAAGGGAGGCGGGTCTGCAGTGAAATAAGGTGGTGAGGGACGCCGTCTCTAGGGGGGACACTGGAATGGAGGGCGGAAAGAGCAGTCAGCGACTCGCAGAATGCGGGGGAGACTGTGGTGCGGGATTCACCTCGGCCCTTCAGAGCGTGTGTTCTGCCCTGGGGGGCGGGGTGCCAGCAGTGTGCTCCGGGGAGACCAGACCCCGGGACAGGGGCACCAGGTGGCAGATCCAGGGGGACGGCGGTGAGAACGCGCGAACGGACGTCTCAGAAAACCTGTGTTCTTAAAAAAATGATTGTTCTTTTATTTAATGTGCTAGTAATAATTATAAAACTCTTATAGTGACATTAAGAAAGATTCATAGACCATAATTTATAAGTCTAGCTTGTAGGTAATTTGCTGGATAAACTTACTTTGCATGTTTGAAGCTGTGACTTTTTTTTTAGCTTTTCCTTTGCCAGGATTAGCCCAGTAGACGTTTGTTTTCTGCTGTTAGATCAGACACATGATTACTGGCTTGCTTTTCCCTCAAGGTTTTTGAGTGAGTTTCCCTATTGATGTCTTTTTATATCTGACCATAGGAAGCTGGGTTTTCATGGTCAGATTCGAGAGAGGTTGAAACCACATTAAACAGTTTGTTGCTTGGGCTTTTTTGTTTGTGCTCATGCCAGAAATGTTTACTGCGAAGTCTGATCTGCTGTGTCTCACCCCTTTCTTCGTGTTCCTCCGAAAGCTGGGGAACGAGGAGCAGCAGGAGAAGCTGCTCAGGGAGTGGCTGGACTGCTGTGTGACAGAAGGTGGCGTGCTGGTCGCCATGCAGAAGAGCTCCCGGCGGCGGAACCACCCCCTGGTCACGCACATGGTGGAGAAGTGGCTGGACCGCTACCGGCAGATCCGGCCTTGTGCATCCCTGTCTGATGGCGAGGAAGACGAAGACGATGAGGATGAATGAGAAACACAAGCAGAAGACCAAGGTATCAGTTCTGTAGTGACCCCAAAGTTAGTGCGGCGTTCCAAGCAGTGCGCGTGGCGTGGAACAGGCGACCCCGCCGGACCTGCACGGAGGGGTTTCCGCCCCACACCCCGGGAGGCGGCGCGTCTGCCGAGCGAGGACACCGGGAACCTCGTTGGACTGGTCTGTAAAAACGAGTGTAAGACAGCACTCTTCCTCTCAAATCGTAAATCTGTCTATAAATGTAACGCATGTGGTTGTGCAAGAAGTTGTGTAATAGGAAAAGTACCAGCATCGTCACGTTACTGAGAAGTTGTTTCCAGCATGGGCACCTCCAGAAGCACACGGCAGCGACTCTGTTCCTTTGAGACGTTTGGTTTTGGTTTTTGTTTGTTTTTTTTTTAAGTAGAACCTGGCATTCTACTCGCATCTTAAAAGATCCACTTTACACTAAGTCCCATGAGAGCTCCGTAGAGATCTGGAAACTTTTTGTACAAATTCTCCACAGGAAAACGTGAAAATAAAAACAAGCTTATTTTAGTAATAATTTAGTTCCTGTTGTGCCCAATAAAATCAAATCTTTAAGGAACAAAGTACAAGGAAAGTAAGAATTTTTTTATTGAGTGACCATGACATATTGTTCCCTTGTTTTGGTTTCTTTTTTTAAAGAGTTTCAAGGGTGCCTTTTTCAGGACGTGGGTCCTCAGCCGTGTGGGAGAACGCCCTGACGCCGAGGCTCTCCGCCCTGGGCAGTGGCCTCCGCGTGAGCAGGCCCTCCCTGGGCGCACGGCGGGGAGGTGCTCGTGCCACGTGGGCGGCGTGGCGGCAGCGCCGGACCCCCACACTGCTGTGCAGAGGCTCCTGGGGGTCTCCCCGTGGTGTCACCAACTCTGCTTTAAGCAAACTGTGTTGGAGTGGCATGTCTCTGCTTGGGCTAATTGGGGGTATCAGTTCAGTAAAGATTTAAAAATGCAGTAAGGTGGTAAATGCATTGTATTAATGAATTTCTCGGTTGAGTATTATGAGAATTTTTGCATGTTGGTTAATTGTGGCCATTCTTATTTAAAGTTTAAAAACTATAATCTTAGGTAGAAAGACTTTTTATGAGAAGTATCATTTGACCACTTCAGGCATGCGTTCCGCATGGGCACAGCGTTCAGACCTGTCTCGGGAGCACGCAGACCCGGTGTCCTGACCAGCACCGTGTACGAGACTGCTGACACGCAGAGTTTGGAGAAGAAGCCCCGCACACGCGTGCACACTTCTTCCCTTGGATGAAAAGGCTGTGAAAACTAAATTCTTTGCTTCTCGTTTTCTTCCGAGTTCTGTTAGATGAAACTGGAATGTGCACCACCTGAGTTTGATTGCGATACTGAAACTGGAAGACGGCGGGGAGGTGTGCTGTCCTCAGCCCTCCCCTCCCCCACACCGCGCCGTGTGCGCAGGCGAAGGGCCCTCCCTCCCTCTCGTTGCACGGAAGCCTGCGGGAAGGAAGTCTGGGATCCGAGTCCATGCGAACGCGTTTTCTGATGTGATGTAAACGTCCCTGTTCTGAGTGGTTGGTATTTCCTTACAAATTGACTTTCTGTGGTTTCCTTGTTTTGTCCCGTAATTAAGGTTTTTTGTTTTTTGAGCAGGCTGCCTTTCTGACTGCTTACGGTGTAGCATGTCTGTAAGCTTCCCTCCTCGTGCAGGCGCGGTTCTCCAGCGGGCAGAGCGCCCGTTGCTGGTGCTGCGTCCGCAGGATTGGCCTTCCCAGTTGCAGAAGCCGTGATGTCTGGGGGCAACTCTGGTCAGCCAGTCGCCGGGGCTCAGAGAGCCAGCGCTGCCAGAGGGCCCCACGCCTGGCCTGCCGAGCGGTGTTCTCCCTGACGTGCCTCTACTTATTTATTCATGACTAGGGACCCCGACCATGTGCAGGTTAATAGGTACAGCTTCTTCCCTGTGGGGAAGACTCTGGTTCACATATCCTAGGCTCCAGACACAGGCGGGCGTTGAGTGGTTTTCACGGCAGGTTGGCTGGTGCAGGCCAGCATTTTGGATGAATCGATGCTGTGTTAAGCTCTTGAACTATTAAACAGCCATATTTGTTGTCCCGAGACAGAGTATGTATGTAGTCCTTCCCTAAAGGTCTCAGTGTGACCAGGTGACAGACGTGTGTCTTTGGGTTGACTGGACAGCAGTAACTGTATGGACCTACTGTGCTGGCTGCTCGCTCTGCATGGGGAGACTTGTGTGGTGTTTTCTGTCCTAAGTCAAGTGCTGGTGCACCTTGGGTTGGGACCCGCCTCTTTGTCAGCTGTTAAGCTCACTGTGTCGCAGACTTCCTGTTAGGGAGGACTGCTGTTTACAGGCCGTGGGGGTCTCCTTCCACGCACCTGTCACCCCTTGTGGGTTGCCTGTTGGACAGCAGTTGCCAAGACAATGGTGAGCTTGCCCTTCTGCTCCCAGAGGGGTAGGTCAGTGACTGTGTGCCCCGCTTCTAGCCTGGGGAGGTTGATCCAGTGCCACGTCGTCACTTCGGAATCGTGATGGGTGGGACCACAACCTGAAAACGAGCCAAGCGGGTGATCAGATGCTCTCAGATGCCACAACTTCCAGTCTGGTGGCACGAGGAGGGTGAGGAAGGGTGTGTGTGTGTGTGGGGGAGGGTAGTTCGGGGACCGTCGGACTTACTGGACACTGTGGACTCCGCTGGGACAATGGCGCTTGGTGCCATTTCATGAGGGTGGTCATTGTGTCAGTTCGAAAGTTACCAGCAGATGGAAGTGGCTGATGTTAATCATTTTGCAACATTTCTTTGTAAATACTGTTTTAAAAAACTTTTGAGATTCACATTCACTTTCCTGCATTAATGCTTGAGCCAGGTGATTTTGCCTTTGGGTAAATTAAAAGCAGAACTCTAAAACACAAGCAATTGTTTCTTGAATTCTAACCTGCTTCATCTTAAGAACGGCACAATTTGCCAGTGATGGGCTACATGAGACGTGAGATGATCACCAGCCTGGGTCTCGAGTCTGGTCACGGGACGGGCGGACACGCACTGGTGCGTGTTGGTGCCTGTCAACATCTCAGGTAGAGGACCTGCACGTGGTGAGATGTACTGGAGCTTCAGAACAGACATTTTTATTACCTTTTATTGAAAACTGCACTGAACGCTAAATGTCCACCTTTACAATAAACAGATAACAGTAACGGTAACTCACACTAAAACAAAACATTTCTGATAGCCATTATTTTTCTGTTGGGACAGTTTTAAAGGTTTTTGTCACAAAAAACAGGAATGTACCTATACAAAGGCTCAAAATAGGCCATCTTTGAAACAAAAAGGCGATGCTTCACAAAAGACTATGAATATAACATGTAACTAGTTGATACAAATCTAATAGGATTTGTTAAAATCAGTCACATCTAATAACACACCTGATGTGTTCTCGTATAAAATATCACGTGAAGAAAAGAAGACTTTATCAATGTCTAAAAAAGTGGGTTTGTTCATAGACAATCTGACAAGTTACCATAAAAAGTGTTTCCTGAGACATAAGGAAATGCAACATTATTCTTCTTGAACTTTCAGTTCAAGACTTTCCACTCAATAAAATAGCTGAGGATCTGAACTGAGAAAATATATTTGAGTACAAACAGCTTGTGAAACTTAATACTTTTTCTTTTTTGCATCATCAGAGGGTGTCACTGAATCAGGGCCACTCGCCCGCGCAGTGCAGTTCCCACGGGACGCTCCTGTGCAGGAGCCGGGTGCCACCCTGGGGACCAGAGGGGCTGGGGTCACAGGGTTGGGACCGCCTCGCCTCTCAATGTTTGTTTGGATGTTTGGAACTCTCGACGCAACATTCTCTTTATAGCAAGGTGTTCAGGGCCTGCTGTGCCCGAGGGACTGATAAAGGAAAAAGATCTGTTTATTCTTTGTGATTTGATGCACAGATGAGAAACTTAACACACAACAACAGAAGTTGGTCATTAATAAATCACGTCCTAGTCTTCCGCGGCCTCCGTCAGTAGAAGGCGTCTTCCGCTTTGCTACAGGGCAGCTCTCCTGTGGTTAGCGCGCAGTGTCGGTTCGGTGTCTGTGGCGCGCTCGTCCCGAGTCCGCTGAAAGACCGCACACTCCTTTCCTCAGTTCGTCTATTTTTCACTGTCTCTTGGTCCCAGGTTTGTCTGACCTTTTGTCATCCTCTGCTATTGCTCGTTGGGGTGCTCTCGATTGTCCCCGTGTTTTGTGGGCTGGTTGGGAGAGGGTGCTTGGGAAGGGTGTGCCACCGTGGGGAGGCTGTGAGTCACCGGGATGCCTCCGGGCATGATCCCTTCCATGGCGGCAGGAAGTCCACCCGGGGCCACGCCCACGATGCCTGGCGGGTATCTGAGGAACACAGAGAAGGGCAAGTGAGTCCGGGGTAGATGTCCTCGTGCTTTGGCTCTGCCTGCTTGTGGTTTTTTAGGGATGGGACACCCTTCGTACCCGCAAAGCAAGGAATAAACCTATGTGACAAAGTGTGAGTTCAAGCATGTGAGTAGCTCCTCACACCGTCTGTGGACTCTGCCCTGTGTGCAGAAAAGTTTGTACAGAGGATTCCCGAACTGATAGCATAGTCCTCTTGCGGACCAAACGTGTCTGCCTCAGCCAGGCAGGCGATACAGGCAATGGTCAGATGCCAGGGAACCTCCCCTGGACCTGGAGCCGTGCTCACGTGTGAGGACATGTGTGTGAGGACATGTGGCATGTGTGCGATTCTTGGGTGAAGGAGGACTCTGAATGGTGGGGCCTCCCTGCAAGCCCTGTGGGCACCACCCGTGCTCCAGGGGCCATGTAGTCTTGTCTGTGCGAAGGAAAAGTCAGAACGTGGCCTGTAACCCTGCGGAGGTCTCGGCCCAAACCGCCCTGGCTGGTGGGTCTCAGTGGACTGAGCACCAGCCCACGAACCAAAAAAGGTTGCTGGTTTGATTTCCGGTCAGGGCATGTGAGAGGCAACCAATCGATGTATCGCCCCCTCTCCTCCTTCCCTTCTCTGAAATAATAAAATCTAAAAATGGAAAAAAAAATTCAAGTGTAGGCCGCATGTATCCAAGAGATACATCACCAGTCAGTATGTGCTGAATGCAAAAATAAAAACACTGCAAAATTTGCATTTATTATACTTATATAATAAAATACATTTTATTTATCTTCATTACAATCTAGAAGAAATTAAAGAAATATAAAAACATTAAGAAAAAGTTTTCAAATAATGGAAACATGGATATTGTTAAAAAATACAACCAAAAGATGTCTTTAATCAGAGTCTTCAATAGGTGGCTTTGCAAAACGTTTATAACAGTCAACACAAACAATGCCGCTGTGCTCGAGGCATAAATACTTTTTACAACACTTGCAAAAATATCTTGACAAGCGGTTTGTTTTAGATGCAGAGCACCTAACACACCTTTTTCTCTTTCTGCTGGTCGAGGGAGCTGTATCTGTGTCGTTAGAACTTCCTTCGCAGCTAGTCCTGACCTTGAACCTATGCACCCAATATATTTAAGGAAAGAATTTGCATTTGTTTTCTCTGATCAGCCGTGACCTCCGCAGGGCTATAGGGGTGGGGAGGCCCCAGCTACAGGGCAGAGCGCAACCCCGTGAGAGGGCCATCAGGCCACTTCCTGCGGGGCGGGGGTTAAGGGCGTAGCTCCTCTTCTACGGGGCCCAGCGGCGTGGAGGTTAGAGAACCCTGGAAAACGACCACCAGAGGTTCCAGTTGGAGAATGAAATCCAGACAGTCTTCCCCACTAACGCCCTGCCTTTGAAGTGGCTTCAGAATGAAGTGTGGATCCTTGCACGGTGCTCACCTGTGCCCAGGCTGGGGCAGCTTCCCCGAGTTGCACCCGCCCTCTTCCCCTAGACTTGGACCTGCCCTCACCTGTAGGTGGCACCGTTGAGCTCTGGGTGAATCGCTTGCTGATCTATTACTGACCAGGGCGCGGTTGTAACAAAAAATTCCTTGTTCACACAGTTTCTTAAGCTTTCTGGGATGCGACCTGGAATAAGATGATTAAAGTCAACCATACATATTTTCTAAGATGGAAATGAATTAAATACAATTTTATCATCAGATTTCTTTTAGTACAAAATCTCTTACTCTAATGGAGGGACTGGCCCTTCGATTTTCACAAAATGTGGAGGCTCCAGAGCCCCAAGCACTGAGCCCTTCCACACTGGCCTCGCTCCCTGGGGGGAGGGCCACCCTCCCTGGCTGATTCCAAAGGAAACGGGCCTCCCCGTACATGTAGTTTGGGATGTGCATAAACAGGGTCAACTCATTCAAAACTCCATCAACTGGAAACCCAGGTCTTCAAGACCCACTAACCCCTTCTGGGCGCCTGTTACCCAGATGAGGCAGCTGCCCACAGGCAGTGTGGGGGGCTGGGGCTCACCTGTGATTGCCCGGCGGATCTCTGTGGCTGCAGCCTCCCTCATCTCCAGCGATGCTTGCTCGCTGTACCAGGCTGTGTGGGGCGTACAAATGAGGTTCGGTGCATCCTTCAAGGGACCCTGAGCAAAGCTAGACAAGTGCACAGAAACACAGGGCGTGAGAAGAGCTGGCCACGCCTCACCTGAGCTACGGGGAAGGTGGCTGCAGGGGTTGGGGACTGAACACTTTGGTGAGACTGTTCTGGAATTAGTGTTAAGACTGATCGGAGGCTCCGAAAAGGGAATGATTACTTTTATGGAGGGCCAGCCCGCCTGAGCAGAATCAACAAATCCAGGGCACACCAGAGGCCGCACACTGGCAGAGTATCCTCTTGCCTCCCCCATCTCTGATAACCTTCGGGGCCCTTCTGGCCCTTTCACAGTTAGAATGTGCCCCAGCCCTTAGAAGAACTGGGCCCACCGAGGACCTGTTAGTCTGAGAAAGTGCCCCAGACCCAGTGCGGGGCATGTGTGAATTCAGACCCACCTGAAAGGCTCCGATTCGTGCACGTCGAGGGCTGCCCCTCGTATCCTGCCCTCCTTGAGGGCTTGGGCCAAGGCTTTCTCATCCACCAGGCCGCCGCGGGCTGCGTTCACCAGGAACGCGCCTTGCCTCATCTGTGGGAGGAAGGAAAGGCCAGGTAAGCGGAGGCTGAGGCCACAGACCAGGAGCTCTGCAGGTCTGGCTGTTCACGCGTTGAGTCTGCAGAAGGCAAGGCCAGGGGTCTGTAGACCTGAGAGACGGACACATGGTGGCAAGGCTGGGCCTGGCCTGTCTCTTCTCGGGCCGAGAAGGTGAGGCCCCCTCCCACCAAGGGGGCCTCACCTGGCTTCTCACTGACACCATCTCGGGGGACTTTCTTCCCTGCTCCCCGGGCGTGTCTGGAGACTGCTTTCCATCCCCCTCTTTCCTGTTAGAAGTCGCCAGGGTCTGCGAGTGTCTAGTACAAGTTACCTGCTTTATAGTAAAGTCATTGATGAGGTGGTGATTATGTTCGTTGAGATTACAGTGCAAGGAGACGCAGTCGCTCTGATAGAGTAAGTCCTGCAGGGTGTAGACTCTCTGCACACCCAGGGACCGCTCTATCCCGTCCTGTAAGTAGGGGTCATAAAAGATGACGCTGAATCCAAAGGCCTTGGCTCGAACAGCGACCGCCTGCCCTGTGCGACCTGTGCAGAGAGAGCGAGCCAGTGAGTGGGTGTGTGGCCCCGCCTGCTGCGCTGGGGCTCTGGGAGCCTGAGCCTGCACTACCAACCTGAGGCCACAACCCGAGGATGCAAGCTGAGCTTCGTTTCTTTAGGGAGCACCGGGTTTGCTTATGGAAAGAATGCAATGACCCAACTGACCCTGTGGTTTGGCCTGCGCACAGACTGCCGTGGGAACCTGCTGTGGTGGAGGGTGCGGGGCGCGGGACACTCAGGTGTGCGGGCTGGGCCCTGACCTGCCAGTGGAGCCTCATGCCCCTCCAGCTGGGACCGTGGTCTGAAGTTTGAAGACAAAAAGCTTTGATGCTTGAAAAGAGGCTGATTTGGGAAGAGCACAGAATAAACCTTTGTGGAGAACCAGGGCTCAGATGTGCAGGGAGGGAGGAACAAGGGACCGTGGGACTGCCCCAAACAGCAAGCAGCAGTGGTGAGAGGCCACCGAGGCCCCCACCTCCCTGAACAGGTAGCAGCAGTCAGGGAAGCCACTGAAACAACTGCTCTGCCATGTGGCTAGGCCACTCACAGCCTGAAGGCTCCTACTGAAGTCGAATGCATGAGGTTCTCTGAAGAGCCACTTCCCTGAGCCTGAGGAAACTGCAGCACCCAGCAGAGGGCGCTGCGGATCCCACAGGGTGCCTGCCTTACAGTCCCTGCGGGGAACTTGAAGCCTGATACTCCTGAGTGTGATCATCCTGCTGCCTGGGTTCTTAAACTCGAACCAGGAGCTGGGAAGGTGTGCACCCCGAATGAGACCCAGGTGCTTCTGGTCCTCAGTTACCTGCAAACAGCCCCCCCGCCCCCGCCATGGTCTGCTCTGCCTGCTCCTATCACCCCATTCCCATTCAGATCAGGAAGCAGGTGGGGGGGGGGGTCAAGTGTTTTCCTGAAGGTCACACAGCTCCCTGTCACATGCGATGTGAGGGCCCTACTGGAGCCTGTGCTGCCATGGGGCTTCCCATCATGCTCCCCTTTCCTTGGAAACCTGCCCCAAGCCCCCCAGAGCCAGGAGGGCTCTCCCAGCTGATGACCTAACAGCACCACCTCCTGACTCCACCCTTCCTTGCAGGGTCTGTCAGCCCTGCATCCGAGGCCTCTGGGCGCTGGGCCTCAGCTTCCCTCAACCACCAGGCCCTATTCCAATCCTGCGCCTGCCTGTTTCTCCACAGAGCCCCCCCACTGCTGCTCCTCTGGAAGCAGCCTTGACCCTGACCTCCCACTCCAGGCAGCAAACCTGTCGCAGACACACTCCTGCAGGGACCCTCAGCTCCCAGTGGAGGTGGGGGAACAGGGCAGAGCAGGCACGTACCAAAGCCGATGAGGCCCAGCGTCTCCCCACGAATCCGAGCTGCTCCCGAGGCAACCTCCCGGATTTGCTCCACACTCTGCACCCGCGTGCCCTCCCGCAGCGCCTGGTACAGCCACGTGTTCCTGCGGTACAGGTTGAGGACGTGGCAGACGGTGGAGTCGGCTGTCTCCTCCACTGCTGCCGACGGGATGTTGCACACGGCGATCCCTGGAAAGAGCAGGGCCTGGGATGAGACCACCCACTCAAGTTCTGTAGGAGCCCAGGGCCCGTGGCCTGTCTGTCAGCAGGGGACACAGACCCTCTGGTTCTAACACTGGAGACCCCCCCCCCCCACTCCACTTGTCCTGTCCCTGGGAAGAGCAGTAGGCGGCCAGAGGGGCGGGGCCAGCTTGGACTGCTTTCTGTGTCCAGGGCCAACGGCCCTGAGCTGCTGGGAGCGGGTGTGGGGGTCCCCTGCAGGGCAGGGCACCCCCCAGGACCCTTCTGGGCTGGCTGAGGGCCTTTGTTTTCTGGTGCTTACCCAATCTGACAGGGCCAACATGTTGGAGCCTGGTTTTAAAAAGGGAAAGGTGTCAGAATTGACACCTCCACCCAACACGGGCCCCTGAGACCAGCCCCACAGTGGCTTGCGGTATGGGAGGAGAGCGCAGCGGCTCAGGGCAAGCACCAGGCTCTGTGTGAGGAGTGACGGGGGACGAGTGCCCCCCGCATGGGGGGTGGGGCTCTGACTGAGGAGCTGCCAGACACCTGAAGTAGGGGCAGGAAGGGTGGGCACTGACCTGCCACACGGGTGCAAGGTTGTGGACAGCACCCCCGCACCAGTTGAGGGCACAGAGTCCTCACCAGGGATGGGGACCTGGCCAGCCGAGCAGCTTCCTGGGGTGCCCGGTGTCTGGAGACCCAGGTCAAAGGCTCCCACCCTCAGCGCCAGACCCGGGGCCAGGGATGGGGCACCAAGGGATGCAGGGCTGGGCTCCGGTATGACCGCCCTATGCTCCTCCATCTGTCCCCGCCAGGGTGGGTGGGACAGCCATGGCGACGGGGGCCCCAGGGTCTCTGTGACTGACCCCTCAGGAGGACAGGCAGCTCAGAGAGTGCCAGTGCCCACGGGCACATCATGCCACTCACCCTACCTGGCCACTGTGACTGGGCAGGGGCCACACGCTGATTGACTCCGAGGCCAACAGCACCCTTGAGCTACAAGGCCTTTGCACAACACCCACAATGTGGCCATCTCTGTAGGCAATGATCGAGCTACGGGCTGCGCTGGACCAGGGGCTGTGGCAAACAGTGCCACTGTCCAGACACAGGGAGGCAGAGGCCAGGGGCCTGGACCCACCCTTAGGCGGCTGGGGTGGCTTCCATTCCTCCAAGGGGCTCGGCTGGCCGTGCACTCACCCAGCTCGCCAGCAGCCTTTATGTCCACGTTGTCGTAGCCGCTGCCTATCCGCACGATCACTCTCAGGGCCTTGAACTTCTCCAGGTCCTCCCTGGTGAGGGTGATGGTGTGGTACATCATGGCGCCCACAGCTTCATTCAGCACCTGCCACAGACAAGCAGAGCACAGGCTAGAAGCCTAGCCCACACCCAACGGCAACTGCCTACGGTGACGTAATGGGGGGCGCAGGGGTTGGACAGGCAGGACAGGGGCGATGCTTGGAGGAAGGTGAAGGAGGGACTGGTCGGGGGGCCCCACCTTCTCGTGGATCTCCTGTGTGGACTGTGCGTCACAGAAGGCCACAGTGGCCAGGTCCTTCAGGATGGGCATCTCCACGGTGCAGTCCCGGCCGTCCAATAGCGCCACTAGGGGCCGGGGGTGCAGGGGGCCGTTCATGATCTGGGGGCGGATACCTGCAAGAGCGGGCGGGGTCAGTGGGCAGGCAACTGGCCGGAAGCCCCACCCCACACACCCACATACCTGTTGGGTGTGCGGAACTCCAGCTGCCACCTGCCTGTTCCTGGGGCCGACAGTGAGCCCACAAAGCTTGAGGAGTGCACCTTCCCACCCTGCTGCCCGGGGCCTACAGACCACAGCTCACTTTGGGGCTGCTGGGAACGGTCTGGGACAAGCCAAGGAGACAGCAGTCCAGCCGGGGGCTGGACGAGTGACAGCACCGCAGCACTCGGGAACCCTCGTGGAGCTGACTCCATGGCCATTTGCAAGTCAGCTGTTCAAGGCCACAGCCGCAGCTGCCACGAGGGACTGCTGCCTACCCCTCCTGGGCTACAACCAAGGCCCAAAGACCTTAAGGGACAAAAGTGGGCCAGCCCCCGCCTCACTTACACTACTGCCCTCCAAACAGGAAATGGGATAGAATGGGATGGGAGGGCCACCTCAGGTGCTCAGATCTGTCCCTGGGCTTGCAGGGGACTGCATGCCCAGAGTGTGGCACTCCCAGGTACAAGGGCCAGTCTGAACAGCTACCCAACTCAGGGAGGGGATGCACAGGCAGGGCCGGTCCTGCCTACACCTGCCTGAGTGCAGATTCTCCAGGGTCTCCAGTGCAGACCTGGGTGGTGGCTGGGGCATCTGCCTTCTGCCCTCCAGATACACCCCTTGGTACCCAGCAGGTGGTGCGGGCCCGGGCCACTCTCCTTGGGGACTGAGAAGCAGCATTTCCCCCACCCCCACCGCCCCATTCAGAGTCTCACACCGGCGGGCCTCAGGCTCTGCGGCCCCTGCTGAGCTCCGTCGCCCACATCGCATCGAGAGGCACCCCCAGCCATGTGGGAACCGGGCCTGGGCTTCAGAAGGGGCACTGGCTCTGAGATGGCCAGGGCAGGGCAACTCCGCTTCTTGCGTCCAATCGGAAACGTCTGGTGCCGCAGAGGACCAGTGAGAACAGGCGGCTCTCTGGGCAAACTCTGGCCACCGTGTTGGCCGGGCTCAGCCTGCCTCGTCGCACTCCTCCCGCCCATGTCCTCATCCATGGTGGCCACCTACCAGGCTCAGCAGGGGCATGCTCACAACCCCGGGGCCAGCTGGCCCTCATGTCACCGACCGCACAGTGGTGGGCGCCCCCGGCAAACGGGGAGGGAGCCACACTCATCTGCATGGCCACCGCCCCCACCCTGATGGCCTCGGCTCCTGGTGGCCCCCAGAGGCATGAGGGTCCTGCCTGACAAGCTGGGCTCGTCCCCACGTGCCTGAGAAAGGTGAAAAGACCGCACCTGGAGCTGTGGCCCCAAGGTGTCCACAGTGTCACTGCACAGTGGCCTCTGCCCTGCTGGTGCTCCCACCAGCCACAGCTGCAGTGCCCCCGCACAACCATCTCTGTGGACACGGGGCACTGGCCTCAGAAAAAGGGGGTGGGAGTTGCCGGGGGCACAGGCCACCCTGGTACCGCCCTGCTCACAAGCAGCAGCTGAGTTCCCCAGGACCCGGATGTCCAAAGCAGATGGCTGGGCCGAATGGGCCCCAACATCCCCTGTAACTGGGGAGCAGACACCTTGCCCCTGCTGATGGCCGGTCTGTTCCATGTGAGGCTGGGCAAGGGGCGGGGGGGGGGGGCGGCTGTGCACTAAGACCAGGGTAACATCTGCAGACAGGACTGTTAGACCGCCCCCCCTCCCTGCCCCGAGGAAAGCGAGGGCCAGGCACTCATGCTTCAGAAGCCTCCCTCTCACTTCACCCTCACACCACCAGCCCCTCGCACAGCTGAGGAACATGGTGCCCCCCGCCCCCAGGGCCCACAGAGTAAAGGCCCAGCTTCCACCAAGGAGACGAACAGCCGGCCTTTCCCACCCCCCAGACTCTTCCTCCTCCCACAAGCCACAGAGCCGGTGGGGTGTGGGAGGCGCTCCATCCATGGGGTGAGGAGCACCCCGACCTGACTCCTTGGGGCACTGGCAGGTTAATTGAACAATGCTCGCAGAGGTCACGGTCATGATAAGAAACCCAACTTGTGACTTGAAAATCGACCACAGAGCTAAACAATGAAAGCCACCCAAGGCCACCTGCAGAGGCTGAGGGGCTGCTCCAGAAGATGCCCACCCACAGCATCAATGCGCATCCTGTTACCTAGGAAACAAACTCCAGGTTGCCTAGCGATTGCCTCTCTCCCTAAAGACCAGGCTAGGCAAGAAGAGCGGGGGCTGCCCGCCCACCAGAAGCCCCAGTTGCAGACACTGCACACCGGGCAGGAAGCAGAGACACTCAGGGTGCTGTTCAGAGGTGCTCACAGGGGGCCCATTCCTGTGAGAGGCGGGCCCAGGGTGGGGCAGCTGAGGACTGAGCTTTTAGGGGGCCACGTGAGACCTCCTGCATGGGGGGGGGGGGGAGGAGAGAGCTTAGCCAAGCCACCACAGTTTGCTTCTATAAAGGGACCACACTCCACATGCGCCCCGGGCTCTGGAGGGACGCCCAGCTGCACGCTGCGGATCCAGCCAGTTCAGCCAGCCGGCTCGCACTCAGCACCCCTGCGGTCCTGCTGGAGTCGGAGGCAGAAGGGCCCACGGGTCCCCGAGAGACGCTGGGGAGACGGACCGCAAATGGACTTCCTGCCTCATCCTATGCTGCCCGACGGGTTCAGTGCACCGGGGTGTGACAGACACTGGGTCAGGTCTACACGGCCGGGTGGCCAGCGGGGAATGACTCGGGGCGGGACCCCAGGCTGGGGAGGGTGCCAAGACCCAGTGCTGAATGCAAAGTTACTGGAAAGGGAGGCTGGTAGTTAAAAGCCAGGTGACCGATTACCAGACACTACTCACCCTCAAGATAAATCTCTCGAACCCTAAGACTGACAAGAATCCCAGTGTCTCTCTTCTTCCCTTTTGAGTCAGGGAGACCACACACAGAGTGAGGAACACCAGAGGAATGAATGACGGCAGCCACCTCACAGTGCCAGGGACGTGTGCTGATGAAGACCGCAAGGTCCTGGTGGCCCACTAATCAAAACGACTCTTTCCACAGGCTCCCCAGCGATGGGCTCGCCTGGCAGTAACCTTGCAGGGCAGAGAGCTCAGGACAACCCTGAACCCACACAGGCCGGTTTCAGGCTCTCATCTGCCGAGGCAGGGACGCAGCACCCAGGTCAAGGCTGGCTCCGCGTCCCTCCCCAGGCCCGGCACTGCGGGAGCTGTAGCCGCACACACTGCTGTGAAGTTAGAGACAGCAGCAGCTAGTGTCAGGTCCAGTGGCCGGAGGGTGGCCGAGTGGCCGGTGGTCCACGCACAGCAGGTCTGAAGACCTCCCACATCCCGAGGGGGAAGGGAGGACCCGAACTCTGAGGGCCTTGCAGCCTTGATCCCGTCCCTGGGTAGCGCCTCCGGCTTTCTCCCCTGAGCAGGGGCCTCGGGGAAAGGTGGGCTTTGCCACCCCGAGCCGCCCACAGTGCCTGAGGCCTGCACCCCGGCTGCACTCTGCTTACAGGTCTGGCTTGATTTCTACTGCTGGCCACTTGGGACCCAAACTGTCCCAGGGCCCGGCCGTTTTCAGCGTTTCAGGAACAGAGTGGTCTCAGCCCAAATCCACACAGTTGCAATAATTAATCGTGGATGAGAGGCCTTAAAGCGGGTTCTACCGAAGCCCCTGGACACTGCAGGCATCTGGAGACACCCAGGCCAGGCCGCCCCCTCTAGGACCTCACAGGCCACAGTGGCCAAGTCAGCACAGCAACCATCACTGTCACTGCTATCCGGGGCTAATGGGCCCCTTGCTGGGGGGGACCAGCTGGGAGCCTCTGAGCCGGCGTTGGCAGTGCTGACCGTGCCAGCAAAACAAGTCCCTGGGAGGCAGGAGAAGGTGGCACACAGCCCTATCCTCAGAGCCCCGGGGTCCGGAGCTGGTGAGACAGCCCTAGACCCACTACCAAAGCCTAGCCCCACTATTAGTTTGACCATGCCTGTAACACCCCGAGAACTGCTCCCCTGGAAGTGCAGCGACCCTGCCCGCCTGCTCTTCAGGGGCTGGGCTCCTAAGTCCCGACGTGGACTCAGCCCCAGGGTCTCAGAGGGGCATGTCTCACAGGCTCGGTTTCCAACCTCGAAGTCCCGCTGGGCCCCAGAGGCTGGGGACAGAAACGAGCCCCTGCCCGAGACTCAGGGTGAAACTAGCGAGCACAGCTGGGTTGAGGGGTTTGTGGGGCACCCCCGTCCTGCAGCAGGGCTGCAAGAGCTGCCTGGGGCCAGGTACTGAGGAGGCTCCAGTCCGGTAAGAGTCACCTCCCTCGCTTTATCAACGCGGTTATCGACGCCGGAAAAAGGGTCCCAGCCTGTCAGACATGCATTTCAGCCACAAGTCTTCCCAGTCAGGCTCTGCCACCAAGCCCTGGGCCTACCAACACCTGCCTTGCTGTGCACACTCACAGAGCTACAGGGGGATCTGGCCTCACTGCGCCCTCCGAACACCCACCCGGTGCTGACTTTCGGGGCGACCCACACTGAGGGGACTTCCCAGAAGGCCAGGGGAGTCCCTCAGTGAGTCTGGTCACAGCCGCTGCTCAGCGGACAACCACAGGAAGGCCTTGATAAGTAGATTAGCTTCTTAAATAAAACACAGGTCTTAAGGAGTCCTGGGCACCCCATGAGATGCTCTCAGGCCACCTGCCTGGCAGCTCAGGTAGCAGGGAGACAGCAGGCCAAGCGGGAAGCAGAGGCCCAGACTACTGACCCAGTTCAGCAGCACACAGAACACCTGCGCCACCACTGAGACCAGCACCGGCTGTCCCCGATCGGCCTCAACTGCACAGGGTCCCTGTGCTGGGACCCTGAACAGAGAGAGGGACAGGTTCAGTCCCCCCTTGCAGCAGAGCTCAGACACAAAGCCAAGGACCATGTGCCCGCCACTCGTCTGAAATTCCTTCAGACACTCATGCGCTGGCGCCCGCTGTCTGGACGCCCAGGCGCCCCCG